AGTCGGAGGCTTCTTCAACTTCAATGTAACACAGACCGCTACAGAAGATCTTTCCTGCCGATAGCCATCAGCATCTACAATAAGTTTTTAGTTAAATGAGTTACAAGAACACCAAATTTCCCTCTGGGATCAATAAAGTATTTTTGAATTGAATTGAATTATATACTCATGTATAGTTTTGCAAAACATCTTGATGAATTCATTTTAAAAAGTCAAATCATAGACAGCGTGTCCCGTCATATAATTATTAAAAGTATTTCCAGAAAATTTCACTASTGTCAGAATTTGCAAAGCATGGATCTGTGTTTGCATGAGATGTGTACGATTTGTCAAAAGGAAGTGCATGCAACCTGTGTGTTGAGCCAGAGCATTTGCATAAAGAGGAACTGTGTGTGATGTCACAGAGGGAGAACTGTTATATGTACAAATTTCAGTGTGTGTTTTTTGATGCAAAACAGCAGCTCAGTCACCTTCAGTCAGCATCCAGCAGCTCCCACAGAAAACCATGGACTCCTGCAAGGTGGAAGTGGAAAACATCTTCCTCCTGGTCATCGTCACACTCATCAGTGTGCTTCAGAATGGTGAGGAAACACTGTTTGTAGCTTCTAAAAATACATAAATAAATGATTAATGCTACCTTAATTTATATTTTCAGTATTTTTTGCTCAGAAGGTAGAGAGGGAGTGCATCAACTCGCGCTCACATGCTTTTGAGCGAGTGTCTTGTGCCAAGTAAGTACCTTTTTCCTCACCTCTAATCCCTCTTTTAGTTTAACTCACACAATATTGGCCGTATCTCCCTATTATATTTATTTTTAATTAATCATGTTAAAGAATAATCATGCATTAATTGCTGGAAACTCTGGGATGGTTTGGTTTTACTTCACTACAGTGAGCCACAAATCATAAAAGAATAAAATGTTTAGCTTTAAATGAGTTTGGAGCAGGAGAAAAATAAAATATTCACTCCATAATGATTCATTTTGATGTTGGAGAAGTAATTGATCATTTGGCTAAACCTAGAAAATCATGTCTAAGTGAATTAGCATTTCAGTCCTAAAGGGATAGTTCAGATCTCTGAAGTGGACAGAGTGTGAACAATAAGTATCTTACCCGCTGATGATGGCTTCAGTTTGGAGAAACATAATAAGTTCTGATTGGACTTTTCTGAGCATTAAATGACAGAATGTTCTTGGAGCCACAGGGACTCCATYGGTTGTTGGGATTTGCATTCAGTGATGCTTTCACTGTATAAAGCAGAAAAGTTTCACACTTTGTAAGGTAAAAATGCAAATCTTTGCAAAAAAAAAGCAGCCTTAACTGTTGATTGTTGATGTATAAACAATGTTTCAGAGGCACGTTCACATGAATTTTAATTTATTTTCTCTGACGTTTGAGGGGAAAGTTGGTAGATTTTGGGCTCGTTGCACATCATTCCTCTTTGTGGTTTTTATCCACTCTCACAGCTCAGAGATGTTTTCTTTTTTTTTCTTTTTTGTTCTGCAATTTCGAAACATTTCCCCTCAGTTAGAGATTTTTTACCAGTGTCTGATTGCTGCAACTGATCTGATTTCTTAATGCAGCTTCCTTAAAACCCGTAAATACGGTTATTTATTTATTTTTTTTCTGTTTGCAGCCGGAACTGCATGGATGCTTATCCCACCTTCCTGGCAGTGATGTGGTGTGCAGGGCTTTGTCTCAGTCAAGGTAATCATTAACCAGAGAAAAAGGTGTGTTTTTTTCCTTTAATTATTATTTCAGTTATAAACTCATCTGAAGAAAGTTATCTGTATTTTATACACACAGATTACAGTTATCTCATTTGGAGCCGCAATAAATTCAAATTTACGCCCAAATCTTGGTTAATAACCATTTTTTACAGCCTTTGTTGCGTTCATATGGTTTTATCTTTTTTACATTTTATTTAGAGCTCTGTTTGCTCAGGATGGGTGGAAACAGGAAGTGATGTTGTAGAAACCGACATTAAATCTGCAAATGTTTGGTTTAAAAATGACAGCACAAGACTGGACAGATTTTGACAAAAGTTTATTCAAGTAATAAAAATAGCAAAACTGTACATCAGCTCAAAATACAAAAAGAAATTCAAATCATATACAACCATTGTTTATAAAAACTAAACTCAAGTTATATCAATGTTTATTTAATCCACTTTATTTCCATTTAAAGGAAATGAAAACAAGATTTCACGTTTGCTTTAAGTTATTCTCTAACATTAAACAGGTTTGTATCTCTTTAGGTTTCTGAGAAAACGTTATGAACAATTAATATCTTACCTGCTGCAGATAGCTTTTTAAACCACCTCAATTTCAGGAAGTTAAAGTGTAACCCTGACCAGATGAGCTAATGGCTAGTCGGACCTGGGTCAAGATTAAAGTAGACTGCTGTTGTTGTAAAACAACTCCAATTCTCCTAAACTTACTTTTTAACCCTTTACGGTTGTCATCTGTTTCACATTACATGGTTATTCCATGSACAAGGTTTCTACTCCCTGTTACAAAACTCCAGACTTTTTCAGACTCAAAACTCCAGATTTCTTCATTAATTTTGGACCATTTCTGACATCAGAGTAAAAACGTTTATTCTTTATGTACAGCTGGATAAGAAACGCACATCCCGCATATTTTTGTAATGATTTTCAAATCTTAAACGCAAGGTTTATTTAGTAAAAGTACATTCTGATTCAAGGTGAATTACAAAAAGCAGTGCAGACTTTAGGTCAGTTTTAGTTGCTTAATATGCAATAATAATAATAATAATAATAATAATAATAATGCACAATACTCCATGTGTATCATGATTGCAGCAGTCCACTTCGGTTACGATCCTGATTGAACTACCTGTTCTCTCGTCTATCGGGTCAAAATTAAAACTCTATTTTTCCAAACTGATTTTATCTGCAACARRTAAGATGTTTATCATCRATAYGAACCCTTTTGTTTTCTAACCTCCTCTTGAAGCTTCTGCTGCCTTTGCTGGGATCATCTACCTTCTTGTCAGGCAGAAGTACTTCATTGGATATTTGGGACAGAACTCTCAAAGGTGAGCTCGTCTGATCGAACCAACACATCGTCTGTACTCATTTACAAGGTTTGCACGGCTAATTATTCCTTCTTTTTTTTTTTTAATCTTTTTACGTGCAGCACTCCGGGCTACCTGTTTGGTAAACGCATCATCACCTTCCTGTCCCTGATGTGCATCGTGGGTATCTTCAACTACCTGCTGGGAAGGTACTTCGGCCAGGACTATAAAGAATACGTCGAGACCATCACCGGCGCCGCTTCTGCTCTCCTGCTGCTTCCTTAGCTCCGCTCGTCATGACTTACATCTCACGATCGAATCGCTTGTGTTTAAAGGCATCTTTTGTGCAAATAAATTAAATAAATTGGACATCAGTCCCTTGCGGTATGACGCAATGAAGACCTACTTGTAAAGAGTTTTTTTTTTTTTTTTTGCAGCTAAATTGCTTGACGCTTCAACTGGTTCGTGTACTGATGAGAAAACGTTGAAGACGAACTCTTCTTTTTGGTTTTCATCCACAGCTGTTTTTCATCAGCCTCAGCTTCAACAACAGGAGACACAAGTTTGACGTTAGCCGTCTAATAAGTGCAGTAAATGCAGCCTTAAAGTGCCCGTGACGGCAATTTTTTTGTAACACATATGAATGCATTTTTAGAAAGAGGACATTGATAAAATATTGCAAAATAAATTTCACGTTGCTGAGATGAACCGTTGTTGAGATATTTGCCTGTGAAGTAACAGGAAGTGATGTCAAAGGGGAATGTCTGCATGTAAACAGAGCGTTGCTACAGCAACTAACAACCCAGCCTGTAGAGAGGAATCTGATGTTTCTTTAGATTAGTTTGAGTCGCTATCAGAGATTAAAAAAAAGAGTCAGAGTTCAAATAATATTGTTTCAATAAACAAAGACCAGAGAGTTTTCTTTGTTAAAGAGTTCCCCTTTGATGTCACTTCCTGTTTCACTTTGGCTGAACCAAGTTCAAAAGAAAATATGCCAATTATGGGACAAACTGGGTTAAATCGTGTGTATCGTTCCAACTTTCTTAAATATAAAGATGTTTTCTTTGACTTTTTGTATTTGAAGAATATGCACGTCACAGGCACTTTAAGGATTTAACAAGTTTTAATTCACCTTAAATGTTCTTTTGCTGAAGCCAAACCAGTGTGGGAAGTCAAAGAGGGCGTCAGAGTAATATTTGAGGGTGAAGGAGGCGTCCCTCCACACTGGTTTCTGCTTCGGCTCCTCTGGGACGACCAAGCTCTCCAGAGCTTCAGTCAGGTCCACCTGGACGAACAAAACGTCACTTTTCATATCTGAATCTACAGCGACGCTCGTTTATCTGGAACAGAAGCTTACGTCCACCCTGTAGCTCTCCCCGGCCACGGAGGAGATGGTCCAGTCCAGACCCCTCTCCAGCTGCCACCGGATGAAAGGGTCCCCACCATCGACTGACACCACGTACTGCCTCTGGACAGCTAAAAAGTGAGAAAAAAATATAAAATAAGCTAAATTAGAAGCCTAAGGAAGCTTAAATTAGTACAAAGGAGTTTAAAAAGCAAAACCAGAACAAAATGTAAAAAGTAGAGTAAAGATTTATGAACATCTTAAAGGTTTTTTTAGTATGTTGAAAACAGCTCCATTATTTTCAAGGAAACATGGCAGAAAAACCAGCATGTTGTTAAGTAGTTAAGGCATATAAGAGAAAAAAATTAATGCATTCACACAATGATAATAAACATTCAGTCAAAAGTTACCTTTGAGATGGTTTAGTTCCTTCTTGTTGCTCACTGTGAGGTAAATCCTCTTGGACAGCAGACTCTTCCTCACGCGGCTGTACTCCCATAAATTCTGCATTTTCACTTTTCTGTAAAACACATATGGAAGTTTATTTGTGCACATAATTACGTATAGGAATGTGATGTTTACTAATCACCTCCCCAGTGAGTTATGGAAAACTATCCTCCCGCTGCTGGACTGGAAGTCGTCTATGAGAACCAGGTTTTTGTCCTCGTCGTTCTGAACGCGGTAACCGGACGAGCCGAGCCGCTCCACGCAGAAACCGTCCGGAGGGCTTTTCAGAAACTCCCCGACTTCTGTCACCGTCACCCGGCTGCCGAGCGTCGCTCCTACCGTCATCCTGCCGCGCTGTGAGTTCCTGCAGCTCCAGCTGCTGCTGTTTTTAGAAACGTAAGACCGCTGCAGTCGTTTTATTACGCGTGACGTAACTTCCCTTTTCTTCCTGACAAAATAAAAGCCCTCAACAAGCAGTTCCTCTCGTTTTCTTGTTGCCTTTTTTTTATTTAGGTAAATAAAGACCTGGTTTGAGCTTTTACAAGTTAACATACTGCTGGTGGTATTTCAGAAAACTAAGCAGGCAGAAAGCATATTGTTTTATAAAACAAGAATTTTAGTTTTGCGTTTGTTCATGTGATTTTTTTCCCCTTTTGGTCACCCATATATGATAAATTATTAAATCCTGTCCTGTTTCTGTTCTATACTAGAGGGGACTGAATGATAAAATATTTTTTGTTTTGACCCTTTTTATCTTTAAATTGTTGTGTTCAGTGAACTGGATTTGTTTTTTTATGGAAGCCCATTTCCGCCACCCTGATAAAAATAAATAAAACTTGTATCTCATAATTATGACCTAGCTATCTCATAATTATGAGAAAGTATCTCATAATATGACTAAGCTATCTCATAATTACGACTAAGCTATCTCATTATTATGAGATACTATCTCATAATTATGAGATAGTATCTCATAATTATGGAGATACTATCTCATAAAGCTATCTCATTATTATGACTTAGCTATCTCATAATTATGAGATAGTATCTCATAATTATGGAGATACTATCTCATAAAGCTATCTCAT